GGTTGCATACGTGTGAACGAACCTAGTGTTGGGCTCTGGTGATCGATCTTATGAAATAAACATAAGCGGGATACTTTCCTGACAAGTGAGATAGAGCAGTGGTTCTCAACCACTGATGTTTCGCGGACCCTTTGTGGATCGGCGGAGATGATGGAGGACCCTGTTCATGGCGAGGGGAACGGAAAGGTATAGGGTAATTATCATAATTATTTAATAAATGAATATAACGAAGGGCTAGATTCAAGTATATAGACTTCTCGCATTGACATGCACGCGAGAAAACTCACCCGAAAATTGGAAGGCTCAATCTGTAAATAGACAATCTTTCATGCCGGGCCTGACTGATGAGTTAAGTTGCTGCTGTTTTTGTTGCCGAAAGCTGTCATAGCGAGGCAACATCTTAGTTGTCCATGTTGTCGTGCTGTTGCCGCGATGTGGCAGGTTTGTCGGACACTGATGAGACAGGGCCGCCCGAACCCTTAAGGCCCTGTCACACTGAGGCGACACGACGGCAACAGCAACCAACACGTTGTCCAACAGTCGGGCAACTTGTTGCTCGCTCCCCATGTTGTCCGACAAACCTGCCACATCGCGGCAACAGCACGACAACATGGACAACTAAAATGTTGCCTCGCTATGACAGCTTTCGGCAACAAAAACAGCAGCAACTTATGTTGGACAACGTGTGTTGCCCTGATCGCTGACTGAGCGAATTTCGGGCCGGCAACACGACAACATAGATAGCTTCGATGGTACAGCTAGTCCCCTATCAATAACGTCTTACTCAAATAAAGGCTTGGAAAACGGTATTTAACAATAATTAGGGCTGGCATGTAGCTAAAATATTTTCGATTAATGTTTTTGCTGCGTAGTTACGGAAAGCCATTTTCGAAATGGTCACAGCTACGGTCGTTAGCATTCTGACTGATTTGGAAATTAGAACTGCCGAGAGACCATCTCACGTTACTGATAGTAAAATAAAATGGCATGCCTACTCACCCACTGATGATGTATGATAAAATAATCCAGAAAACCACAGATTAAAAAATCGCAGCATTAAAACGACCATTCGGATCATGATTGTTGATGCTTAGAACTTGGAAACAGCCACTCCCAGACACCTGATTTGTTTTCAAAATACCCAGGACGTTTTGGGTGAATGAAGCGACCATAAAGCAGGCGGTAGGCAAGTAGACACGGTTGAAAAATATTTATTCAACTGATTGTTCTGAAGGCCGATCGTGTCGGTGTCGTAGTTTATAAGCACTGTCAGTTCAGCTCAACACCACGCTACAAAAGACGCTTTGGGGGACTGCCGGTGCTCACTCAATTTTACAGTATGAATTGCATGAAAGAACCGGACAGAAATACTTCATACGGTGGCGTAAATCCCGGAAATATATCAGCGATGTCACTTTCCTCGGTTAGGGCTATCTGCTTTGTCAGCGAATGAACATTTCGATAAAATAAAGAGGGGAAAATACTCGCGGCGTAAAGTTTTCTAATCGCAGTCACTGGTTGATGTCGTACCGTGGCAATTCTCGGCCCCTCGAACGCACTAGCACTTCGTAGAGTCACATTTCCAGGGATTCCGCGCCGCGCACAAACGAAGGTAAACAATCAAGATGGCGGAGTGTTCCCCGTGTTGTCCTCGCCGTCAGCGCGGTGTGACAGGGTTGTCGGACAACAAATCAGGCAACACGGTTGCCGGGCGTGAGCAACACGTTGCCCGACTGTTGTTGTTGCGGTGATGTGACAGGGTCGCCGGCAACGCGACTTTGCCGTGTTGCCGGATAGAGTTGTCCAACTGTTGCCTCAGTGTGACAGGGCCTTTAGAATGCCTTCACGGACCCCAAAGAACTTTATTTATTTCAGCAACATTATGCCGAGGACACCGGATAAAAAGCTAACAGAAGCTAGCTTGACTGGGCCCAGTGCCCTTGCATGTACAGGGAACACAATCATATTTAAACAATCCTAAATATTTCTTACAATATTCAAATCAAACAATTTAGAACGTTCCTATAAAATTTTAAAATCACCGACACTAGAGAACAATTTTTTTTCTTAATTTAACAACACAAAAAAGTACGCAATGTTTTTTTAGTTATACAATGAATATCGATGCGGTTCATTACAATGTTGTTAAGCAATGTAGGTAGATTATGAGCAAGAGACTGCAGTGCATAATTTGTACGGAAATGGGGAACCCTCCAGAATTCTCTACGACGAACATCGAAGACTGATTCACGCTCAATCAGTTTTGCTAGCTGTGACAAAAAAGCAATAAACTCCAAAGTTGAAAAGGCGTAAGAAAATAGCAAACGATAGTCATAAATACAAGAAAATTTAATAATATTGTAGCTCAAATATAATGGTTCAGCATGAGTGTCGTACGAAACATTAGCAATGAAACGAATAATTTTTTTTTGAAGAGTTATTAGTTTGTTGACGTTACTTTTGGTCGTTGTGCCCCAAACTAAATGGCAGTAGTTGATTTGTGAGCCGAACAGAGCATGATAAATTTGAATCTTAACTTTTGTAGGCAAAAGAGAGCGACAGTGACCGATGATGCCAGCTACCTTTGCCAGTTTGTGAGTTGGAAATCCTATATGTTGATCCTATTGCATAAACTCTGAAAAAATTATGCCTAGCGTTTTATGATGACTTACTATTTCAATTCAATTTCCCTGTTTCCGATCTTAAGAGCATAACTAGCATCAATATGTTTATTTACAGGTCTAAAAACAATCGCTTTTGTTAAGGTAGTAATTATTTCGAGGCCATTTTTTTTCTGACCATAAAATAAACTTTTCTAAGATAACAATACCTTTAATAATCAGTTCATCGATATTCGTCGCAGAAATAAAAAATACTAGAATCATCTGCATACATTATAAAACGTGAGTGTTGACAAATGTTGACGATGTCATTTATGTACACATTGAACAGAAGTGGCCCAAGTGTGCTGCCCTGCGGAACACCAGACTTCGATAGTTGCAAAGATGAGGCATGACCATTTATTGAGACACACTGTTTGCGATGTTGTAGATATGACTGAATGAGTGCCAAAGACGTGCCCCGTACACCATAACAGGAAAGTTTATCAAGAAGCGTTGCATGGTTAAGAGAGTCGAAAAGCTTTGCTGAAGTCAATAAAAAGACCCAGTGTCATCTGTCGTTGCTCTATATTTTTTAATGTTAGTTCCTTCTGCGTTAACAAGGCGCATTCCGTAGACTTTCCCTTACGGAAGCCAAACTGGAAGTCAGTCAGCCCTGAATGTTTATAAAAAAAGTTATCTAAACGACGCAAAATAATTTTTTCTAGCCCTTTTGAAAATATGGGTAAAACAGATATTGGCCTATAATTTGCAATTACATTGTTATCACCTCTCTTATGCAAAACGGAAACTTCCGCGAGTTTCATGTTATCTGGGAACTTGCCAGTTGACAAGGCCAAGTTAAATATATATACTAACATTGGGGCAATTATTTCAATCACAAATTTGACGGGCTTTATTCGTATGTCATCAATGTCGTGACTTGTGTTATTATTAAGTCTCATGAATACATTAAACACTTCTGACTCGTCAGTAGGGGCCAGGAAAACAGATTCGTCTACTCGACTCGAGATAGACGAGGAAGCACACGCATTGTGAGCGCGGGTAGGTAAGTTTGTAAAATGGCGATTAAAATAATCAATTCCCGACACATTTTCACCTGAAATCGAAAGCGTATCTATTTTGATTGCTTTTTATTGTTACGTTGAAGTACTGTGTTTGTAGACTGCCATACAATGGCGGGGCTCTTTTTGTGCGCGGCATGAAAGAGACGTTTGTGATAATCTGACTTTGCCTTTTTTAGCGCAGATGTAAGTTGATTGCGATATTTCTTGAACGCAGTATTATCATCGTCATCTCTTGACGAGAGGTAGGTCTGATAATATCGTTTTTTTTTCCGTATCATTGCTAAAATAAACGGGGCAACCCATGGTTTCCTTATACGCTTTTTAATCGTGACAGTCTTGTACGGAAAAGATGCGACGTAAATTGACGTGAATGTACTTATGAACTCATCATACGCGCTGTTCACGAACTTTCTCAAGAATACAGGGCTCCAGTTAGTTTCCATGAGTGTACTTCGAAAACACCGCAGTTGGCGGTCTGTCACAGGTTGAAAAGTAAAATGTTTACTAGCGCCGCTGGATAATTGTTGAGTTTTAAAACATACAAATATAGGCAAATGATCCCTTATGTCCCTACTTATCGTACCTGCACTGGCAACAACAGTGTTTATATAGAGTCCGTGGAGCCCCATTTGAGAATGACTGAGATAGAGTATAAATGGTCCGGTGCCCGAAAAGTGAGAGGTCAAACAATGCCAAGGTTATTGCCATTGCTGATACGCTAGAAGTGGCGCGGCGATAGGAATACAAAGTGTGAATGAAGAGAGGAATAATTAACAATGACTGAGTCCTTTTGAATGAATTACGTATATCGTTGGCTACATTATAATCTGTCAAAGAAAAAAAGGTTTCGTCTGTGTTTGTAGTTACACAAAGCAGCGTTTTATTTTTCTTATTTATCTTTCTTAAGGTTCGGTGGGCTTGTTTGCCAGGCTGAAAAACTTTAAACCCTATGATCGAGCCCATCTGCTAAATGGACGAAATTGACTGTTACGCTATGAACTTACTCAAAATGAGGTTTCTTCTGTGTAAGCCATTTTCTAGGAGCTATGCTTTATTTTTTTTATGTCACTCTTTCTTTTTTTTTAAGTCTTGTGGTTTTATTTGACGTACTGCTAAAGACAGGGGGAGGCTTCATCCGTGTTTCCACTTTCAGAGGAGGTGTGCTTATATGGCTTTTTTTTTTTTTTTTTTTTTCCCCAAGGTCTTCCGTTTCTATTGCACGCCAGTGTGTAATGTTGTTTGCACAGAGAATGGCTGCCGTCAGAGGGCGAGGGAAAAGGATGCGTCTTTTTTCCTCCCCGCCGGCGTTTCTGACGGCTGCTCGTATCTGATTGGTCGCTTCTCCCCGTCAAAGGACAAAAGCTCCCGGCTTGAAAAGCGGACCGGGCTGAGCATAGAGCGTTGGGAATCCGTGGGCGCGTGTCGTGTGAGCAGTGCGCTGGAAAGACCTCGCTCGGGACCAAGTCGACGTCGCGCTCGCGTTAAATCTGTCGTTTTGTTTCGCTCGTTTTAAATTTCGTTTTATTTTCTACGAAGGATCGGAAAGCAGACCGTCAACAGAAAGTGAAGGCAAGTGATTTTTGTTTTCTTTTTCGATTTAACGTTTTTAGTGCTGCGGCCGCTTTTGCTACGACATCATACAAAAGGCAGTCTGCGGACAGTCTTAGGCGTGTTTCTTCCTTGTGGGGTCACATTGGCCATAAAAGAACTGTCTGCGGAGTTGTTGAAAGCACGAAGCAAACATGCTACAAAACTGCTTGACGCGTGTCTGTAGATCCTGTCCTCGTGTGGAGCGAACACTGTCGTGCGGCTGGGTAACCTTCAGCCAAAAAACACAGACATGAAGTAACTTGGAAAGCGTGCGATTTTGAATTTTAACAAGTGCTTGCGATTAGCAGTGATGTTTGGAGCTGGGCTAGACGGTGGTGCATAGTTAACATTTTAAAACGGCGCAAAAAACACAAGGACAAGTAGAAGGAACACAGCGCTGACTCAAAACTTACTCGTCTTCTTCAAGCACATCAACACACGAAAGAAAGGAGAGGAGAATCCCATATATTGGACATCTTCACTGTCATGTGCCACCCGAAAAAAAGTGCGATTGCTCTAGTCGAAACCCTATAATTGAACGAACGAGTCAGTTGTTTCATTATCGTGCTTCACTTCTGTCACAATTCATGACCAAAAAGAAATGAAATGCCGACGCCTGCTGTGGCGGTTTTCGACCAGGGGGGGGAAGGTGCCGCCGCTTCCAATGCACCCTCCTCAGAATTTACGGCGCTCCGTGGGGGCCGCCATGTTAAAACTTGAGACCAGTGTTGCTGCATCTATAGGTTGTCTTTAAGTTAGAGCTGACGGAGAAAATCTGGCCACTGCGCAACGCCGATGTACGCTGGAAGCTAGAGCCGGTTTGCTTTCGTTGTTTTTGTTTGGTCGGAGAAAATCTAGCAACAACGCACGTTCAAGTTTCAACATGGCGCCGGTATTGCTTCGGCGCTTCGGTTTGACCACGTTTGACGCGGTTTGCCAGCACATGTAGCGAAGACGTGACCGGAGAAGTGCCCTTGTGATGGTCCCGGAAGACGGAAAGTATCATTCGTAATCGTCGTGCGTGCTTAGAAAGCGAAGGGAGTCACAGGGTCCACGAGTGCGCAACCACAAGCCAAGGTTCACGACAGCGCTCCGTTGACTTCGGCGATCTTGTTCTGTTTGGTGCATAGAGATAGGTTTGGTGAAACACGGCGATGCGACAAAGAGTTGAAACGTTCGTGCTGTGTCGTGCGGTGCTTGGAGGTAGAATCCCATACTAACACGAAGCGCAAATTGGTTATTGTGGCGTTAAAATTCAACGGGTTTAGTTCCGTCGTCGTCGTCAGCTGATCCGGTCCAACTGGTCCGGGAGGACGCAGCGAGCGCTTTTAAAAGTAAATCTTCCTTCGTTCCGTTTCAAAATGTGGAAGATTCTCGACGCATACCGTGAGTAAAAAGCTGCGGGCGTTTTCAACAAAATTACGTCGTTTTAATTGAACAATGGGCTACGGATTCTTGACCTAGACCTGCCGTTGTTATGCTTCGTGTTGTTGGCGTTTGCACAGCGACGCACACCGCCCGAGTAGATGATTCGGTCCTGCAAACGACCGGTCATACAGAATTTCAGAGAAACATAAGTCACCACTGATATTTTCTTGTAAATCTCTTGTGAATTTGTTGCGCTCGTCATGCGGTGTGAATAAATTAGGGCAACGTTTCCTACCTGCCTACGGATGCATGAACTGAGACCATTTTTTACGTAGTGAACGTAGCGTTTTTTTCTTTATTTTGGAAAAAGGTGTTGATGAATTTATTATGGTACAATCACTTGAGAGTTCAAAAATTGGAGAGAGCGAGCATGCTTTCTCAACTTCGTCACTTTTCTCTCTGGCATTGCCCCTAGTTTCAAGTTGCAGTTTCACTAGACATACCTACTAGCAGGTACAAACTGCTCTAAAGTAAATAAAAGTCTGGTGAGTCAGGGCGGTGCGGACTCCGTGTTTCGCGCTTTTCGCAAGGTAAGTGCTTTTGCGAGGTATGCGGAATACGCAAACGATTTTGTTATGCCCGTCGGTTGCGTCTCCAGCAAAACGAATAAGATGATATACAAAGGCGCAATCACAAGCCAATATTTACGACAACAGTGCATTTGATTCGGTGGTCCGTGTAGTTGTATTTCACCCTGCTTTCTGCAACAGCGTGTCATGACGAAGAGCTGGAACGTTCACGCGGTTTGTGCTGGGCTACCGGTTGACCCAGGGGCGGATCAAGAACTCCGTTTTTTTTTTTTCGTTTTTTTTTTTTTTTTTTTTTGGGGGGGGGGGCGAGGGGGAGGGAAAATCTAAACTCTAAAGCAAGATAAACAGGACTCCGGTTGCGCCTTTTGTTTTAACCGCCGCAGAACCACACTGCGCCGACGGCCCCTAGATGTGCGCCGCTGCGTCGACTTTTGGCTCTAACTTCTGCCGTGCTTCGAAACCGCCGCCGCGGACTTCAGTCTAAGCGACGGAGTGGTTCTCCAAGTGTGTGCGCCTGCTAGGTGCGGCCTACCCTATTTCGAACCCTCGTCCTTGAGTACCGAGCTTCCTACCACCTGGCAGGGCGGGAGTTGGTTTTATTTCGGGGAATCCACCCATGTCAAATCGCCCCCCAAGAAGGGGGCGGGGGGTCGACTGTTTGGGGGGTAGGCGGCCGCCCCCGTCGCCTCCCGCCTCCCCCTTGGGTCTGCCCCTGGATTGACAGAAGCCCGCGTCGCCCGCATCGTGAGAGTGCACTTGGGCTGTTGTAGTGGCTCTAGGCTGTTGATGCTGAAGCCTTTCATCCGCGGATTGCCGTCAGCTGATCCGGCTGCTCGACGGTGAGGAAGCGGCGAAAGTGACCTCTGAAGCAAATCTAAATCCTTGTTTATCTTGTGGGATGCTGCGTCGTGGTGACGAGCGAATCCCAACATAGAAAAGGAACGGCGGTTTTATTGCCTCGGCGGCGTCGGTCGACGGACGTTCCTCTGTCCCGCGTGACTGTGTAGCGGGCGGCCGTGCTTCCCTGAAGCAGACGACGACGAGGTTTTATAGCGCCAAAATGCTGGTGATTGTGCGTCGCCACAATCTAGTTATCCGGTGTCAAAGTGTGGAAGGTGTCCAAGTGTACTGAGGGCGGGAACTACAGGCGTTTTGCCTTGCTTTCGTAACCGAAACCAGAACAGCGAGATAACTGCCTGCGTACTCCCAAATGATGGAAGCAATAAGTTGCCAAAACCTGTTTTTAGGGTTTCAAGCCGAGTAAACAAGACAAATATAATTAAACTTCGTTGTTAGTATGCAGGAGGACTTATATAACACAACAATACATTCTTTCCAAAACGAAAAAGAAAGTAAAACTTCGTCCGCCGTATATGGCAGCAACTTCTCCACTGCGAAACCTATGCTGGCAACGTAAGCGGTTTTAATATGGCAGCCTCCGCTTTGCGCCGCGTTCCCTTTCCCTCCTTCCCCCCCCCCCCCCCCTGTTTTCGACGATGCAGAGGCCAGCATCGAGCTAGACCAACAGATGACAAACATTTCACCAACAAGCTTCCGGACACCTCGAAAGGGTCTCATACGCAGCACACCTCTAAAGATGACAGCTTTATTATTACAAAAGAAGCGTGTACCCAGAACATTATTTATCAGTCACAAAGTCTCTCAAGTCTGGTCGTAATATCCTCTGGTCGTAAGTCGCCGGTTGCAACTTTTGGAATGGAAATAGGTAGAGTGCCTTCATGTCTGCTGAAATACGTAGCCGCAGTCTGTCGTGCAAGCGAGCTAGATCCTTTTGGCTCCATTGTGCTGCGGTGACCTAGATAATGCTCCCCAACGTGCCTTTTGTGTCCATTGTAGTTTCTTCCCGAGCTCGTCCAAAGAAACTTCTCCGATCTCCTTCCTCATAGCATTCATCGTTTTATCCAAGGAGTACTGAAACAGAGCAAGAGAGAAAAGGGCTACCGGTGCTTTCCTCCTTGCTGGTAGGTTAGGAACGAGCGGGAAACCCTAATGAACGCCTTGAATGTGTGTGTTGCTCCAAGTTGACTTGTTTTCTTCACGATTTCCTCCGTTTCTTCCAGATTTAATTAGAGCTAGTGCATCCAGTTACAATCTTTTGGTGAGCGGACACCATTGTTCGGTAATAAGCTGCAGGAATAACCACAGAAACTGCAGAATATTATCGGAGGACATCTGTATCGCGCACGGGATTCGACAGGGCAACTGCGGCAGCAATGTCTTCAAACTCCATCGCTTTCCCACTGACATCCGCGGCAGTGGATTTTGGTTTGTAAACGGAAAAGTTGTCCCAACGCCATCCTCTCGAGTGTGCTCAGTATCACCTAGAAAGACCGCACGTCAAATATTACGGCCTAGTTCCGCCTAAATGTTTCTTAGACGGTCCGGCAAACTTTGCAACTCGCCAAGGCGCAAAAAACAACGGACACAAGGGGGAAAACAGACATGCAGGCGCCACTGACAACTGTATTTGAAAAGTTCGGAACGGAAGGAATGCATAATCTTCATCACGTCCACGCATGCGCGTAGCCATGTGATCTACACTTTATCTCCCATTTACAAAAACTTATATTCTAATCTCGGCATTCTAGAGTGCAATAGATGCGTTACTTCCGCGTTCCCCTTTTTCTGATAAAATACGCCTCCCATAACTGGCGCGCTTGGTTGCGCCTCTAGCGGACGCATTGAGGCGCAACCAATTGTGTACTCAAGGCTACGGTGTAGCCAACATACTCGTCATCATCACCCTTTTGTTCGTTTTTCCTGGCGGTGACGTGAGCAACGTTGTCCTCTCGGTGGTGTCCACGGGAGTGGCGCGCCCGTGCAGCGCGCTTCTTGGGGGCCTGCAGTCTCTTGGGTCACAACCGCCGTCGTCGTCTCACCGTCTCTTGGAGTTCCATACCTGCGCAGACTGATGCCACGGTTGTACAGAGGGTGCCGAATGTCGTAGACACCAAAACGTGGTGAAGAGTGCGGTGCAGACGACGCGCCTGGCACACGCCC